AAGATTGCTATTGAACATCAAAATGAACGTCAAAAAAACTCTTTATTCAAATTTTTTAAAAAAGACCAAAATGATACCATAGCCAAAACCCTTATTTTAAATTATAATTAAGGAAGCATCTACCAAATTTGTTGTGTGATAAGAATTATTGATGTCATTATATATTTATGAAGATAATAGATCATAGATATAAATCATCACAGAAAGTGTATAATATTTGTTTTCGATATCAAACTATCTACAAAATATCAAAAGAAAATATTAAATATAATGTACAGTTTTTTGATCTTTAACACGCCAACGTTTGACATGTATTTTCCATAATACTTTTAAAATCTTCCCTTTACGCCCACATCGTCTTACATTTACTTACAGCGAGTTTCACCGACCTAAGGTATTCACTTACAGCGAGTTTCACCGTTGCTAGTATTATTATATAATTCACAAAACAAAATATAATAAAAATATAAATAAATATAGACATAACGGCTGGTGCCCGCGAGTGTTTGTGTGTGAGTGTGTGTGAGTCGGTCGGTGACGGCAACATATATAATAATAATAATGTTGTGGCATTTCGGGCCGCAACACTTTATACTTATGGAATAATATCAATAGAATTGTTCATATAATCTAAATGATTTTTGATTTTAATAATATGATTTTATATTATGTTACAGAATAATATAAGTTACCAAGATTTTTGGGACGACCAGGATGACATTGATTTAAATTAGAAACATTAATAAATAATAATATACTAAAATGTATTATTATAACTAATTAATCACCATATATTTTATATATTTTTAAAACTCATATGAGAATAACATTTTATTTAAAATAAAATTCATGACACATAATATTATCATTTTTTTTTAATTTTTTTTTTTATGATATTGTAAAAATAAATATTTCAATATTTTATCTTGATAACAATTTAAAGTAATATGGCTTCAAGCCACTCTTTAATTGTATATATTATTACACTTACACTCCGTTTCAAAAGAGATTATACCAGCCGACGACCGGTTTTCATCTGGTAGTGCGCATACTCCCACTAACGATCCCGTCTGACGGCGCGTTGCCCCACCAACGAACCATTAGCCGTTGAATCACAGATGGTTTATACAGCACGTTTAAAATTTTACTTTTTCTGGCGCGTTTATTCAATTTACACGTGTTTTTAAACGCTCTCACCGCCTCTCGAAGTGTAAACATTATTTGTTTTTTAATTGTTTTTTTTTTGCAACTTAAAAATGGATCAATCATCACTAGTCAAACGTAATTTTCATGGAAGGGTAAGCATACAACGAATAATATTGCATTAAATAGTGTTACACAATAATTTTCACTAAATGTTATGTTAGTCATAGGCACCTAACCTAACCTAACCACCATTATCACAGCATCACGCCATCATTCCTCGGGTGTAGATGTTTAACATCTACATATCTACCTGTAATATAATATAATCAATTATAAACAAAATTTTTAAATTAATCATATAAAAATTAATTTATATTTTGTATTGTTGTACTGAAAACTAATGAAAACGACTTAAACTATAAAAAATACAATGCTGAATGATATCAATATGTAAATTGAATTTTATGTGTAGAAAACAATTAATCATTTCGAAAAATGTCTCTTAGTAATACATTGAATATTAAAAGTACAGCACTATGAAAAATTGAACATAAAAACATCAAATTATTTTATTTTATTCTGAAAAATAATAACAAATACAAATCGTATACATATAATATAATATAGTTTTTCAGGAATTCAAACTGTTTTTTTAAATAACTTTTTTTTTAATAACTTTTTTCTTCTTGAGCTAGTTGATTTAAATGTGTTTTCCAGTAATTTTTTTGGCCTGCTAATAAATACTAATGAAAATTGTTTTTAATATATTTTATATATTATGATTTTAATGATTCATCAATAAGTATAATATTTATTTTCACATGATAATGAACTGTGACATTTCGAATTGCACAATTTCCCAACTGTTTACAGATGCATATATTTGTTTTAAACTTCATCTTACAATGACATCTTTGATAACATTGTGTGCCCTATGACAGACCAAGTAAAATTATATTTTAACACTAGTATTGTACGGTGAGGTGACACATATTTCGATTAGTTTAATAATGCAAACAGTGTGATATCAGGGCGGATAGGGTGATCATTGTAGTATTTAATAAAACCATTTAGATATGATCATACGTTTCACTTTTCAAAAGTCGAAACTCAAAAATCAATTTAAAAAATAGTAGGTAAATACATTTCATCAATAATTATTATAATAGTCATTTTAATTAACAATAATTATTGTTAACGAAAAAAATGTATTACTGTAATGTATATTGTAATCATTCGAATAAGATTTATGTATAGCCGTATAGATAGGTAAATAAGATTTATTATTATCAAAAACATATTTCATATAATACTTAAATCTTTTAATATTAAATTTATAACATATTTAATCACTAATGAAAAAATTTGTTTATTACAAAACAACTAAAATTTTTTTGAAAAATTAATATACAAATGTCACCTATGAAATATTTTAAAATGTTGCCTCTTGTTAAACACACCTATGTACAGTATACTTACAAAATATCATCACTTTTATCTTTGCTTTTTTTTTATTCAATACTAGTATATTTCTACCTTTGCGTTTTTCATTTAATCTTATGATAGTTTAAATAATAAATAATTAATACATTTGTTAGACTGCAACTAATCGTTTTGATGTTACACCTTATAATGGTGATTTTGTCATATACTTTTGTTATTATATAATTCTATACTATTTTAGTTTATGTGTTAAATACAGATAACTACCATTAAAAAATATCAAAATTACATACGCACAAATTATTTTTATAGAAATTTGAAGTATATTACAATTTAAATATAAGTTATATAATATATATCCTACACTGACAAATCATTTGCGCTCAAAATATCATAATATATTATTGTATACAATACAACCATATCATTGCATTCAAATTTAACACATCCATTGTAATGGCTTACTCTCCACCACTACTAAACAGCAGAGTGATGTCCACTTGCCCATACTTTTTTATTTAATGATTTTAATTGAAATATTTATTCCATTTTAGTTTGTTTCTTCTCGACAAAAAGAAATGATCATTAACTCGTACAAAATGAAATTGCAACAAAATCCTAATAAGATGATCAGACAAATGCGTTCAACCCTTTCCAAAGAACTAGGTATTGGTGAAACAACTATCTCCAACACAATTGCGCAATATCGTAACAATAAAACCGTTTCATCACCAAACAAAACGAAAATTTTTAAAAACATTACCTTAAAAATTGACGATTTTGATAAATACGCAATTAGAAGAAAAATACATCAGTTTTGGACAAACCGTGAATTATCTACGTTGGACAAAATTCCTACGGTTATCAATGAAGATAAAACTCTTCCTGATTTTTCACGTTCTTTCTTATATCGTTTACTTAAGTCGATGGAGTTTGATTATTGTAAACAAGTACGTAACAGTGCCTTGTTGGAAAGAGGAGAAATTATTCTTTGGCGAAAAAAATATCTAAGGGACATCAAGAAATATCGAGAACGAGGTCCGCCAATCTATTTTCTTGATGAAACATGGGTGAATGCCGGAGGTGTTTCTTATAGAGTGTGGTGTGATAAAACAGTACAGTCACTCCATGATGCACGTTCTCAAAGCCTTTCAACTGGTCCAGTCTATCCATTTGGCAAAGGGAAGCGCCTTATAGTGGTCCATATTGAATCCGAAGACGGCTTTGTTCCCAGTGGCTTGTTGTGCTTCGAGTCGAAAAAAACAGCAAAGATTACCATGACGAGATGAACGGCGAGTTTTTCTGCGATTGGTTGGAGGGTTTTTTACCTAGACTTAAAGATAATGCTGTAATTGTGATGGACAATGCTCCATATCACTCTGTTAAGCTATAAAAATGCCCTACAACCAATTGGAGAAAAGCTGACATTATCCAATGACTTGAAAGCAAAGGTGAGGTAATTGATCCGACTATGATAATTCTAAAACTTCTAGAAATCGTCTAGAGAATTAAACCAATGCATACCAAGTACGTTGTCGATGAAATGGTTTAAAAACACAAAAAAGTAATGCTACGTTTACCTCCGTATCACTGCGAGCTAAACCCGATTGAGTTAGCATGGTCAATGGTAAAAGGCCATGTTAAGCTCAATAATAAAACATTCAAATTACCGGACGTGAAAAATCTGCTAATTGAAGGTGTTGAAAAAGTGGATGCAGACACGTGGAAAAATTTTATCAGCCATGTCTATAAAGAAGAAGAAAGGTTTTGGAATATGGACACTGTTGTGGACGAATTGATGGCAAAAACTCAACATCTGATAATGACTGTTGGTAATACAGATGATGATGACGATGATTTATCATCGTGGGTTAATTAATAATATAAATTTTTTTTATTTATAATTGTTAGTATGTTTATTAATTTAAGTTTTTTTTTATAAATTTAATTTATTTTGTTTGAAATAAATAAAATCAATTGAGGTAATAAAAAAATTCATAATTTTCTTTATATCATTGTAAATTTTTACCATTATTATTTTTCAAAAATTACATGATTAGTAGTGGTTGGATTTATATTCTATTAAAATGTAATGTTTTTAAGTTATTTATAATTTATTTTCTCAATATTCTTTTGAAATACTATTTATATAATGTTTTTTATATTACGTATAGCGCTCATACACTCGGCGATGTGCAAAATAACGCTTGAACTTCAAAACAGTACTGCCAGGTTGGTGCAACTCTATAGAGAAATTATGTTCGGTATAGTTTATAGTTCACAACCACGGGTAGCGCCATGAGTCGCGCCGCGCTATCACGGCGTATCAGTGACTGTTTATTATCACATCGCCACAACTGTCACAAACTTAAACACATGGTCACGTCCGCACACATAGATAAAGGAAATATAGATGCCCGACTTACTCTTGATATAATTGTTCGTTTGATTTTAGTTAAAACAATTGTCACTTGTTGCGCTAGTAGAGATTACCTGAAAACACAATAAAATAATCATATTTATGGTATTTAGATTTCCCTCCAAAAATTGAAAAATGTTTAGAATTTATTTATTATTTAATTTGGAGATCATTAATATTGGCATACCTTATTATGTTATTTTTATAACCTTCCATAATTATTATTTTACATATTACATCAATGAGCTTGATATTTTATGTATTTTTGTTTTTGTACAATCCCTACTCCTAGTTCCATTGAAATTAAAATTAGTAGCTAATAGCTATTATTACCTAATGGTTCAGTCTTCAGTAATTGATTCCTGCATACATATTTCAACATGCCTTCAGATAAATGTATTGTTTTAGACTGTCCCAGTGGTAGAAATGTTCGCAAACATTATTTTCCAAAAAATGATTTGGAATTTCGTATATGGGTTAAAAGGACAGGCAATGACAAAATCATTAATCTCTCTAAAGAAGAGGTCATTAAAAAATATGCTATATGTACCCTTCACTTTCAAGATTCGTGTAGGAGCATTGGTACTGTTCGTTTAAATAAAGGATCACTTCCTACAATGTTTTTACCAAGTATTTATAATAATATTATGATTATCATTGTTTAGTAGTGTGGGTAGCACTTTTTAAATAATTTTATCTGTATTTGTTCTGTGTCTGGCTAATATATTTTATTAATAATTGGTTAAAGATGGATAAGAGAGATCTCTCTCTTGACATCTCAAGCCCGTAGCCATGGTGGGGGGGGGGGCGTTGCCCCCCTAAAAATATTAAAAATATTAGAAAGACATTTTTTTTATATATTATGGCCTTCCAAAAAAGTTTACTTTGCCCCACCTGAAAATTTGGTCTGGCTACTGGCCTGTAACGTCTTAAAACAGTTTTTGCTATATTTTATATGTTATAAATTGTAATTTTTTGAATAACCAATATACATAATTTGATTATTGTGAATATTCTGGAACAAACGTTTAAAAAAATGTTTGATATTCTTAGAATTAAATTAAGTCAGTATTCAATAAGTATAAAATAATACTGATGCTTAATATATTATCTGGGTTTAGAAATGTATACCTGTTTTTAGTTTTATGTTTTATGTATATTACTGTACACTTAAAATATTATTTAACAAAACATGCATGATCTCTTGTGCGGTTGTGTTTATTAATTTTTTAATAAATATTGATTGTTTAATACTATAATGTGGTTATGTGGTTTCTTCTGTGGAAAATTAAGATTTGAGATTCGAGATTTTATATTTAAATCCTAGTAGAGTAAACTAGTTACTTAGTTTGTGGATGTAGCATTGGTATTTTGTATTAAAATGTGAGTACCTATCGTGAGTTAATTTAATATAATAATAAAAATAAAAGTTCTTTAGTATAAACAAATTAATTTTATTTAGACGTATTGGATGCTGATGAACCTCAATCCAATATTAATCGTGAAATCTCTAAAGTTGTGGAAAACTCTAGTTTTGAAACATGTAATTATAATTTTGTTCCATAAATACAAATAATTAATTTCAATGAGGTTTAATTTTTTCTATAGCACTTGATACACTAGCTATTCCCTTGGATGAATCCCATGATTTTTTTACTAGTACACCTTGCTCTTCAAAGTCATCTTTATATGGACTAAAACCTATCACAAATAATAGTACTTCAGAAATAGTAATTAGAACACCAAGTATGTTTTATTTACAAATATACTAATTAGATAAAATAATATAATATACATAAGTTAATAAAAACATAATATCTAAGTAGAAACAATTTGTTTTTCACAGAAATTAGAAAAAACTTGTTAAGGGATGAAGGTTTTATTAAGAGTAGCCAACTGACACCTATCAAAAGAAAATTTTATACAGAAGTGGTTAAATTGAAAGCAAAAGTTCAAAGAATGTCTAATAGTAAAGCATCATTAAAAAGTAAATTATCTGTAGCAAAAAAGTTTATAACAAGTAATATCTACAAGGGGTTTCAAGAAAAAATAAACAAAATTACTTTAGAGTTTATCGAAAGCCAAGTAGGAAATCAACACAAAAAACTTAATGGTAGGAGGTATACGTTAAATGATAAAATATTTGCTCTATCTATTTTCAAGACTTCTCCAAAAGCGTATAAGTTTTTATCTAAAATATTTGCCTTGCCTTGTGAAACTACACTGAATAATTTGCTTGCAAAAATACCGTTTATACCCGGCATTAATAGTCACATTGAGGAAAATATGAAGTACCAAGTGAAACAATTAAAACCAATGGACCGAACTTGCATAATTTTATTTGATGAAATGGCTCTTGAGCCTGGTCTAAAGTATGACAAAAAAAATGATCTAATGTTTGGTTTTGAACATTTTGGGAAGACTGTCACAAACAAATTTTCAGACCATGTACTGGTTTTTATGATAAAAGGTGTAAGCAAAAAATGGAAACAACCTTATGCTTACTACTTTTGTCAAGGAACCACTAAAACAAATCAGTTGATTACTTGTATCAAAGAAGTAGTAAAGAGTGTTAAAAGTACAGGTCTTAACATAATAGCATCTGTGTGTGACCAAGGCCCTACAAATAGAAGTGCTATTAACTATTTATTAAATGAAACAGAGGTTTATTATAAAAATAAAGAGATGCATAGAGTTGCATATGAAATAGATAATGTTGAAATAATCCCAATATATGATGTCCCACACCTGACAAAATGTTTGAGAAATAACCTTTTAACCAAAGACCTAGAATTTGTTATGAATGGGAAAAAACTACAGGCTTCATGGAACCATATCATAGAATTATTTAATATAGACAAGGCTAATGAAAACTATGAAATAAGAGCTTTGCCAAAATTAACTGAAGCACATGTTTATCCATATAAACAAAAAATGAAAGTTTGTCTTGCTACACAAGTGTTTAGCCAAAGAGTGTCATCTGTTATGAAATTATTATCAAGACCAATGTTTCAAAATAATAAATTAAAAGGTTCTGATGGCACAGCAGATTTATTATTATTTGTAGATAAAACATTTGATTCCTTGAATGCTTCTAGGAGTATTCCAGATGCTTCTAAACCATTATCAGGAGCAATAAAAATTGAATCCGAAGATGTTCATCTCAACCACTGGAATCAAGCAATAAAGGTATTTCAAAGTATGAAATTCATTGACAAAATTACAAAAAAGCCGTTAGCAAGACAACCGCCGTGCATAAACAATTGGGTCATGACACTAAAGTCTTTTAAATATCTTTGGTATAAGCTAAAAAATAAACACAACTTCAAATACCTGTTAACTAGAAATATTAATCAGGATTCCTTGGAAGTTTTATTTGGAAATATTAGAAGCCATTCCTATAGGAATACAAATCCAGACTGCTATCATTTTGTTTCATCATTCAAGACGTTATTAATAAATAACTTTTCTTCGGTCAAATTGATTGGAAATTGTGAACTGGATGAATCTGACAATGTTTTGAATAATTTGAAACAATTTATTACTGGTTCACCTTCAGGCTATCAGATATCCAATGAAAATGGTGAAAACCAACTCACTTTTCCAATAACAGATGGTTCTGAAAAACAGTTTACAATTGTCACTGATTTAAATGTTGGATATATTGCAGGCTATATGGCTCGAACAATTTTAAAGTATAATAACAATTGCAAATTATGTAAACAATTTTTAGTCAGCAAAGATAAAACTAACCTTCTAATTAAATCCAGAGACTACACATCTAGCTCATTAATTCATCCGAATTCAACATATTTTAAAATTGTGAAACAAATGTTTGACCTTTCAGATACTATTTTACCAACAATAATG